CATACAATCAAAATCACATTTCAGTACAATTAGAATACCACCACACCCAAGTCCAGCCCTTATGTTCTGAATCAAAAGTGAACCTTAGAACAAAGCTAGAAGAAACTTGGAGAGGGAATTCACTAAGTCATCCCGATTTCCGAGTTCCGGTTATTCAGCTTGCACCGATAAACCAGGCCCGGCAGTGTGGAGGGCCAGCAGCTTGTGTTTTGATGATGACCTGTTTCATAATTCCGGCCTCCTGACTCGCTCAGAGCTCCTGTCTCTCCTACATCAGATACTCTGTGAGAGTGCAGTTAACAGGCCTCTGCAGGTGACAGTGCCATTGTATTCCCATGGGTGCTGCTGTTTTATAGCACGTTGAGGTATTTGACACAGATGACTTCAAACTCCATCTGTTGGTATAATTCCCACTGATCAAGTTTGCTTTGGTTTTGTTTCCACCTAAACTTTGGTTGTTGTTGGTAGAGCATTCTCAGTCACCAGTGTAAGAACCATGACCGTATCTCCAGCAGCCTTCTTGGGGACTAGGAAGAAGGAGTTGAGCACCAAACTGCCGGGCCTTTGCTGGTGTCTTTTAGGCGTGATCACACTTCTCTCCCTAGGCCTGCTCTTGGATCCTAGGCCACACATATGAAGCGCTCTTCTTGCCTTTGTAAGACTCCTGTATTAGAGATAGTGGAGGAGCACTGTGCCTGATGGCTTTTCAGAGCCTCTTCTCGAGCAGACAGTGGGACACCAGCCCTTTCCAGGCAGGTCCTGGAGCTGCAGCTTAGCTGTGAGTAAGCAGGCCGCTCCTCCAGCTCTCGGACTGTAAGCGTGGGTATCACCCTCTCTTTGGTTCTTCACATTGATTTGCTTTGATGCCAAGTGTTTAAGTCTTCAGTGACTGTCTCTTTACCCACGTACATTCAACACCACCCCCTTATGAAAAAATTGGGGGCCTATTTATAGATGGGAACTTAAGAATTCCCAAAGTATGCCTTCTGGGTAGATAGTTTCAATTACATGCGTTCCCAACTGCTAAACATTAGCGGTGCGTTGGTGCCCAGAAATACCCTGACCATCTCCCCTCCCAGCACCCAGCTCTTCATTCTCTCGTAGAAAGACCTGTCTCGGGGACTAGGGCTACAGCTCAGAGCGCATGTGCAAGGCCCTGGTTCTATCAGCACCACAGACAAACCAAACAAGAGCCCAGCACATGGTGGACAAGAACTATTTCTTGGTAATAACTTGGTGTGTTGTAGGTTGGTGTGTGGTCGGCAAACACAACAAATACATGCAGCATTGTTTCTGGGTGTGACCTTGTGGAAGAAAGCTCTATTTAAGAGAGAGACTGCCCACACCGAGGCTGTCTCTCCTCAGGCTTCCTGAAGTCTGTTTTCAGGAACCTGGTGAAAGCATAGGTCATGGAGTAGTGGAAGAGGTCAAGTCCCCTCTGTGGCCCTGGACTACAACTGTGCCAGCTGAGTTAATGGAACATAACACATCTCCGAAGTGAGAAAATTTATCTGAGGTCTTGAAATAAAGTTGGCTGCGGAAATGAGTTTGGGAAGAAACATAAACAATCAGTACCCCCAGGTTACTGGCTCTAGTAAGTTTTGGCTTCTGGCCTCATTTTAACTGGGGTTGAATTGGCACAATTCTTGTGCATATTCTCAATTTTGACTTTTGTTTAAGATGGAGAAACTGAATGTTATTGTGTTTGAGATTATAATCACACATTGGTGATTACAGCTTAGAAGTTCCACTCTTGAGTAAACACAGCACATGTTTAAACTTTTGAGGACTCACTCAGACTTCATTAACAGATTCCAAAACTCTGGAGCCCCATAAATATAACCAAATGCAGAAGCTTTTCTTTGAGTTGACAGCCATGGAACTATTTCTCGGGGCATACATCTTATTGCGAATGGGCCTTCCCTGAAGGATTCAAGGGAATCAGCTGTTCAAATCTTCGTCTACTTTTCTGTCTAAATTCAGGTGTGGCTCAGAGAATAAGACTCGTGACTCATAACCCGAAGTTAAACAGGATAAATCACTCTTCTGTGTGGCACTCGGAGGTCTGACTCTCGGTACTCTTAGGGCCTGTCTCTGAATGTCACTACTGGCTGTAATTTTCCTGTCTGCCAACAAGACATTTGAGTTAGTTAATGTTGTGGGAGGGAGTCTTCTACGTCCCCGTTAGCTTTGCCCTATCAGGTGAGAGCTGTCACCTGTCTGATTGACTTGGTTTCTCGGCTGAAGCAGATAAAGGCCAAGAGATTTCTTCGGTTTCACATAGCTATGGAGTTTTGAGACAGAGGCCTTTGGGGGGCTACTGTCAAAGACTTTTTGGTTTTTGAGACAGGATCTCTTGTAGCTAAGCTGGCCTTGAACTTTTTATCCTCCAGCCTCTATCTCCCCGAGTGCTGGAAATGCATTTACTGCTGTGCCCAGCAAGAGATAGTCTTGCTCTCGCCCCCCCCCTTTTTTTTTTTTTTTTTTTTTTTTTTTTACAAATTCAGCCTCTTCCACCCCTGTAGCGGCTGCTTGCTCTGCAGTCTGGCACCTTGATCAGTCCGGCTGCTGATCTGAAAGCTGCACCATGTCGTATGCAGTATTTCCAACAGTCTCTCCCTTGCTGACATGGAAGGAGACCCACACGACCTCTGCTTTGGGCAGCCCATGCCATCAGGATTACACACGGAACAAGGTGCCAACCTTCCTTCACTGTCCTCTGCTCCAAGCCTGTGGAGTCTTGCCCCAAGTTTGATTTTAGAGTCCAAAGGGCACAGTAGTCTTCTTTGGTCTTGTTTGCACCCTGTCCCTTCCTTTGTGTGGGTCACATCAGAAACTGGCCAGTGCCAGCCTGTCCTGCCCAAAGACAAGGGACGGCTTACCAAATACACGTCAGCAGACCTTTTGTACCCTGAGAGGGTTCGTGAAAGCTTTTCTGCACTCCTTATCCCGAGCCTGGTTGTACTTCCCAAACTACATCGTGTTCCTGTTTGCAAAGATTAGCCTGGTTCTTTTCCCCATCTAACTCTAATTCTATGCAGAAGAGCAAACTAGAAAAGGAACTACAAAAGCCGCTTGGCAGGCTGCTATTTCTCTGTCGGTTACCGTGGAAACAGTGATGGCTGGGGGGTTATTAGATAATAGCAGGAAGTTTGTGATGCACTGGAGGGTTAGACGCCAAAAGCCTTGTTTTTGTAGCAAATTACCTTGGATGAGCTCTTTTCCTGATCAGCTGAATCGTGCCTGTGGGAGGGGCTTCCCTTCACCTCCCGATGATTGAGTTGAGGCAAAAGAGGCTTCTCTCTGGCTGTTCCTCTCCCTAGCACCTTATGAAGGATGTGCAGCACACAGAGGAGGCGGCTGTAAAAGCAAGACTAATGGTAGAGTCTCTGAGAACACACTTCACTAAATGATTTGTTACACACTCCTGGGAATACTGGAGTACTAAAAAGTCATCTTGATCATAAATATTGATTTTTTTTTCCAGGACTTGAGAAAGAAGGAAAATACTGAGCTCTAAAATGTTATGGCACAGAGTGGCTTAACCTTGGAGGCTGGACAGACTGGAACTGTGTGTGTGTGGCATTCAGAGTTGGTGACTGAGCCTCCACCATAGACAGTGTCCCCTCTGCTACAGTTTTAAGTTATCATCAGCCGCCCTTTTAACTGTTTTGAGACAGGGTCTTGTTTGTCTTAACCACCCTGGCCTCAGGCTCACAGTTAGCCTCCTCAGGCTGGCATTGCAGTTGACCACCAACCAGGCTCCCTCCTTTTCCTTAGGCCGTTTGATCACAGCATCTGCACTGAGAGCTTACAAGAAACACTTGAGAGAAGTTCTTGATGACCCTGTTCTTCTCAGACACCCTCCAGTGAAGTCGGAAGATCAGCCCCGCTTCCTGATGCTGCCCCTGGACTGGGGAGCAGCACTTACTGATACTCTCT